CTACTGAGCTTTGGTCTGTCCATTCAAGTCCTCAGCTAACACTACGACATCTGTTTGACGCCCATGCTTCAGGAAGTCACTCAGCTGGTAGTAAAACTCATCCTTAATTGCATCCAGGCTGCAAGCTGTTGGTGCATGCACAGAAATGCCGAATAAGCAACGCTTCCCTAATCGGTTGTTTCCAGATGTGGTATAGCCTAGTTTCGCAGCACATAAACGATTATTAAAGATTCAGTCGAGTAATACAGCGTTGGCTGTAGCGTTTAGTGTGATACCAGCAGCAGCTAAGTCGGATGTCGATGCGATAGAATCTCCGGATAAGTGCATGTGGTACATGTTCGAACTTTCAGATAGGGGAATATTTGAAGCATTTCACTGGGAACTTATATGCGAGTTTTATGATGCAGCATGAATCAGTAGCGAAGCTTTCAGGGTTCTGGTCAGATTTGGATCTTGGAGCAAACGTTGTAGGTGGCAAGCGTGGCACGTGATCTTAGAATAGCTGTGTCAGATATACCACTGGAGACCAGTATTCTGAAGAGAATTAGCTAACTCGGAACGGTACAGATAGGCTGAGGTTCCAAACAATAGTGAACTACTAGAGATACCAGGAAACACGAAGGTGCAAGTAAGACAAAACAGTTTGTACATAAAAATAAAATAAAAAGGATCAAATTGCTAAATATATGATTGGAGAAGTAGTCTATGATGGTGTGCATGTGATTAGTTTCCTATTGATTGTTATTCCATGATTCGTGCGAGGGCTGAGATACTGCACGGATGCCCAGATCGAAGCCACTGCTTGTTTTAGGTGATCACTCTCCCAGCTTTTTAGTCGGACTCTGATCAGGAGGGCAGCGTCAGGGGCTACTTCCCCGTGGTTACTGTTGACCGAAACTGGGTCGTACGCCATTCGATCCTTTCGGATCCTGGAGGCCATATGGATCATAGATTGGGAATTAGGACTTTCTGGCTCCCATAGGTGTACCTCTGTGTCCACAGGTTCTCTGATAAGTAATGAACATTCTCATTTCTATTTTCACTTTTGTAAGAACATTCCCTGGCGCATGAAGGGGGGGGGGCTGGTAACTGGATACGTCGAGGCGATTAGTGAGTAGTCATGTGTAGCGCATCATCCAGTCGCTTCAAGGTGATAAACGCTCCTAGGTTCGACTGATTTATTTGTCGCACTCAAGAGGGCAGTGAACAGGGCTTACCTGATCTGGCAAATTGGGTTATTTGGTCAGTAGCTTACAGTCACCACTTTGGGTATCACTTAAGTAAAACCATCAGCAGCGGTTGCTTTGCCTCGTTTCAAATTTGAGACAGTTTTTGCAGTTACCAAGGTTGCGGTTCCAATGATCACTCATTTGTCGAGTTGTGGTGAGATATTGCGATATTATAGGCCACCTGGACTGTCCCTCGAAGTGTTGTTTCCAACAGTCTAGACGCTTGTGGAGATCGTTCCACTTATCGTAGCTTTTCGTGTGCCTGTCTCATTAAGTCTGTTTAATTGACGGATATCATTTGTTGCTGCTGTCTTTGAATTCTGCTATACATCAGTTATTCATTATCCCTCAATAGTTTTCATTTACGGACTATCAACTGTCTACCCGACTGTTTTTACAATACATTGAATATGTTGTTAAGCAATCTACAGGTCAAACATCGTTGTTGTATTCTGATACTGGTGACTAATCAACTTTAAAAAAATGCATATTTGATATTTTCATCCATGAGTTGAGCACATAAACCTTTCAGTTACTTCATTCAGGCATTCAGGCACTGTAATGTATGTATACAGACAAACTCATGGTGCGAAGCAAGTGACTTACTCCAAAATTAGTAGTAGTCTAGTGATGTCAGCGTGATGTATCCTTCCCCAAGTACGATAATTTCTCCACCATCATATTCGAAGTTAACGATGGTGTTAGGGTTGTGTGAATAACAAAACTTGATTCTTATTTGTCTGTAACATGGAACAACCATGTTCCTCAATGTAATAACTTAGGCTAGTGAGGCTGTTGTCTAATTTACCACAGGATTCAGACGCAGGGATATGAAGTTGGTATGGTGGTTCTAATGGTCTCATTTAGGGTTTGACTGTATTATTTCGTCAACAGTGCTTGCAAAATAGACCGGAGTTGAACAAAAATATATGAAATATCACAATAATAATGGGCGATGGTGAGTACCTCGTCTGTTAGATGTGTAAGTAGTCGGTTTTATATGCTGATGGAAACGTTTAAGCTGCTGCTATTTCCAAATTGATATCTCCTTGGACTACTGGAGAATAATACCATTTCGATTTTTGAACTACAGATTCCGAGAAATTTATGCTTGAGGTTAGTTACATGTGTTCTATTTGAAGATATTCGGGTTTTTATAGCTTCTCTGTTTGAGGAACTATATTGCCTAGTAAGAATTACTGTAATGTGTATCAGGGTATACGAGTTTTGAGACTGAGCATTACTAACTCATTCTTTTTGGAGTGAGAAAGCAGTATAACTGGCTTGCCCATTGTCTAACAGAAACACCTTATTGTTGTTACACTCGTTCCATTAAACAGTATGACTTAACCTTCACACTCCTAAAATGATGTGAGTAGCTTGCATCATGCCGATACCCGTTATGATTTTGCCAATTTTCTTTAGGACATAAAAAAAAATATGCAACCCAATCTGTTACACCACGATAACCGACTTTTTTAGAGTATTGTCACGTCGATCGGAAATCCGAGAGAAGAGAGCCACATACAACTTTTTTTGAGTAATTTAACCTTTTTCTGTTTTCTGAGGTAACTTTACTTCAAGTGAAAGAAAGCTGTAACGCATAGCATTGCACACATTCCGGTTTGCTTCCATCTTAACTTTATTCACTAAACAATATGAGTTTATCCCCTAAAATGTATTGAAATGCAAAAATTTTCACGTCATGAAAGTGATTACTTCTAACCTTAACATTTCTTAACTAATTTTTCTGTCAATGTTGACTGCCTGGATCATTATGATAGGTGGTGGTTCAAACTGTTTCACTATAATATCAGGTAATCAGTAAGCCGATCTGATTTCATTCTTGGTCAGTCAAGTCGACAGACTGCTTTCATTGACTTAACACATTTTGTCAGCACTCCCCTTCATAGTCGAACATCATCTACCATGAGATTAAGAAATTTAAAGCATTGTACGTTTGAAAGTATATGCCTATAACATAGAGTGTGTTGATGTATGAACATATAATGAGTATATCTTCATCCGACCCTGAAATCTGTGTCATCCATATTTTATTACATCGTGATATTTTTAAATTAAATAACAATATGTATTCCTCTTATTTTCGTATTGTATTCAATTCGACTTATATTCACATTTCTCGTTTTACACTGTCTTTACTTCTGAATAGATAAAATCATGCCATATTAACCTTTAGCCTCATATTTTTTGTAGTAGTTTTAACTATTCATTCATTATGCTTAAACGTAGCAATACATTCAGTCTATTTATTTATTTAAAAATATAATATACCAACGTGTAACCTTCCAATCTAATATATATATATATATATATATATATATATACATATGATGCAGCTGAATGAAACGAAATCATTGGAAACAGAATTTTCTTTACTGAAATCTTCGTGTCAAGTCTAATCAAAATAAATAGACTACTAGTTAACTTTAGTTGAAGAGTATGCCTGAATTTTTAATTTCACTCTCATAATTGAGTAGAAATTGTGGTCAAAGGAAAGATCATATCTTTGAAAACTGATATTTCGGTGGGGGAAGGAGGGGTAGTCATAATATTGCAATTATAATTTGTTTACTTAATTAAAATTTCCATTAATGATTATCGTCATTGAATAGTACCTTAAAAATTGAATCATTCATAGATGAGATGCCAATATATACAAACAGTGTACATTAATTTGAAAACAATTTCTTAATTTATTTAATAATTGATCAAAGCTCATATCACAAATATCAATTGTTTGAATTGATGAACTGAACTGAATTTCCAAGATAAAACTTTGTACGAATGTGCAGTAGTTCAAATTGCCACACCCTAAATAAAGGACACATTAAGGTAAGGAAAAAGAGAAATGCAAAGAAAGTGTAATAAACGGAAACATACGGGAGAGAAAATAATGAGAATTTAGTGGATTTAAGAGATCAAAAATAGTGGATGCATCTGCTCCAGTGGCTGTGGTATCGTCTTTTATCGGGTGGGGTTTCTAGCCTTACGCCCAACCCTCCGTCTTTTCCGGGCTTACTAGTGACTAGTCAACTAGGCGGGGGTTGGGAGTGCGTCGATCGGGACTCGATCCCGGATAACCCACGTGGCTGGCAAGCACACTGCCGTTGAACCACAGACACCCTTGCATGTTTTTTTTTTAGTTAGCGGTAATTATCTCCATCGTTGAGATATGCAAGTATAATATACTGCAGCTCACTAGTTCAAGGTTTTCGGATTCCAGGCATTAGGACACGAGTTTGAACCCCGCTTCAACTAGTGAGGTGAGTCGGATCATTTATATTCCCTGGTCATTGGTTCTTAGCGTCCTGGGTACCCAACCAGACAGTCTATACTTCCCTACGTAGCCTACAGTCAAAAGCTTCATTGATGAATGAAATGTTTTGGTATGATCACCCTTAACTCTCTTTGAACCCAATTTTATGTCGGCTAACATTGGTAGATGAGGAAGGCCGATAGCCTTGCATGCGTAAAAAGTGTCCTAGCCATCTTATTCAATGCAGCTTCACAACCTTATTGGTCGACTTTGCCTCCTCAGCCAACAATCTACTGCTGACGTCTGTTATACTACTGACATTCGAACTAATATTATTCGAGGTCACCTTAATTACTTGAATTAGTCATTGATGGACATAATAATTACATGGATGAATTGAACTATTTTTGTAGTTAATAATACATAAACCAACCATTTCGCTTAAATTCGTATTTTGTTTTCTTTTTTTCCCCAATATTTCTCCTGTCTAGGCTTCTCAAGTCAATATTAATCATATCCATTGTTTATGAAACAAACTTCATTGCTACAGTCTTGGACTAGTTTACTTTCTTCTCATTCAAATAATCCTAATAATCATGTAAATACTTTAAATTCTTCTTCGAAAACCTTTAAATCAATCGATTCTGACGATGATGATGTTTTGGCTAATGTTCTGGATGAGTATAATGATAATCCACAGTCCAATATTAGTTCACATGTGAATGAAAGTCATGAAAATGAACAATTCATTAATGATGCCTTGAAAAGACCACCGGTTTTATATCAGCCTACAGCTAATGATTCAGAACATTTGGAAGGGTTTGATGTTGATGCTGGCGAAACATGGATTTACCCGACTGATGCAAATCTACGCAAGTATCAGTTGAATATTATTGAACAATGCTTGTATAAAAACACACTTGTATGCTTACCTACAGGTCTGGGAAAAACATTTATTGCTGCTGTGGTTATGTACAATTTTTTTCGATGGTATCCAACAGGAATATCTGTTTTTATGGCACCAACTAGACCGCTTGTCACACAACAGTTTACTTCATGTTCAGATTTTATTGGCCCTTTTCAAGACAGTATTATCGAGTTAACTGGATCGATAGCACAACCTAAAAGAAAAGCAATCTGGTCCACTTATCGAGTTTTATTCCTGACACCTCAAGTGTTGATGAATGATTTACAAGCTGGTGTATGTCCTGCTAATTCTATACGTTTGCTTATCTTTGATGAAGCACATAAGGCAACAGGAAATCATGCCTACTGTCAGGTATGCTTATATGTTTATTTTTAATATTTCTCTGTGCTTTAAATTATCTGTAGCAATTGGATTGATTTTCAGGCGTAGAGCGGCTAACCGCACGCCCAGCCTTTCCACTTTTTCCGAGCTTTGGACTGCCTGGTAAACTATGTGAGCTTTAGGTATTTATTTATTTAAACGCAGAAAAAACTTGGTACAATATGGCACCAAGAAAGATGCGCCACACAATAATAATAAAACAACATAAATTAAAAGTAAAATATAAATATAAAACGGATAAAGAACTTCATCTGGAAGGAAAACAGTCATGTTTAACAAGTTCAAACAGTATTCGTTAACTATCATCAGGAAGGGAAGAAAGAAGGGAATTGCAACACGTTCGCCATTGATTACGATTCTTGGCCATATCCGATAACGTTTCGAGCCATCGATTCAAGCTATCTCGTGGACCCCAACCAGGGAGTCGTGACGCACCAACCGATGCTAATCTAGCACAAATATCCTTCATCCCACGACGCCACGTCATGGACTGACCACCCCTCCGCCTTTTCCATCCCGTCCCAGGGCTAGCGAACAGAGACCTGTACGGAAGCCTCTGGGATGACATTCGCAGCACATGTCCAAGCCACCGGAGCCGGTGTTTCCAGATGACGACACTCAATGAATGGTGATCTCCACTGTGTTCAAACACACGCCGCCGAACCTCAGAATTACTCACACGATGATGCCATCGAACGCAAGCAATCCTGCGTAGACAGCGATGATCGAACACGCAGAGTCGCCTCACATCCTCAGCTTGCTATGCTTAGACTCGAGTTTTTCTTTCATCTATCACTAACGTAGAAGTTTTATAGTTAGCTTCACTATTAGTACTTTGCAATAAAGAAAATGTTACTTCCCTGTCGTATTTCATTTCTCTATCAGATGACTATATATATATATATATATATATATTACTGAGGAATGTAAAATGCATAACAGTGATACAGCTTCTGCTCTTTTACTGCTGATCAGAGTTATGTACATATCTTATGTCAGCATCTAGTCTCTACTGCTGAGCTAGGTAAGTCCTGTTCACTGCCTTCACGTAGCGTGGGTGTTCCTCACAAAAGTAAAAGGGCGTATGTAAACGTCTGGTGCTTAAAACTGGTCCCAAACCTACGGTGTACATGGGCTCTAAAATATGAGAGGATCGAATGGCGTATGAACCACCTGTTTTTTGTCGCCGGTGACCACAGGAGAGCAGCTCCTGAAGCTGCTCCTCTACTTTGTAGATCAGAATTCAAGGCAAAGACTCAAGGGGGCCCTTTTAAGACAACCGCCTGCTTTGATCTGGACGACCGGGGATTATTTCAACCCTCGTTTAAACTACGTGATTTGTGTGGCTCACCACTTGGTGCCCATAGTGTACCAAGTTTGTGTTCCAACAAATGTAAATGACTTTTGCTGCCCGGCAAAGATAATGGAGATACTCCAGAGGTTGTTTAGGGAAGCTTTGTGTCTCATAATTATCTACAGATGATTAAGCAGATTTAAGGCTTAAGATAACATGTAGGAGAAAATGTCATAGGAGCAAAGTGGAACTGAAGGCAGCATACGGCGATAGGTAATCATATTTTACCCTTATTAAATAAGATAGATGCTGGTAAGCACAAATGGTTGATGTATGTGTGGTTTCCAATCACTCGGGTCAGTTAGTAGTGTGTATTGTGTTGCGTATTGTAATTCGGATGCTTAGAAATTTCATCTCCTATTCTGCATTGCACAAATAAATTAGTCGAACTCAAACAGAACTGTTTAAGATCTAGATTTCGTTTTCTAAACTCAAGTGTTCAAGTTATTTCACTGCTTCACTCTGGTAAGATACAATTAATTTACAGTAAAACATTATAACGGTTAAGAATTATTATATTCACTTTTTTCCTTTGTGGTAAGATAACTAATTGACGAAAATGACACTGTTTTTCTTTCTTTTGCCTTCTGAGTGCAATACAGAGCTTCAAGCTTTGAAGTTTTAGTAGCAGTGGTGTTGTTAGCCTCACACCCAGTCTTCCCTCTTTCCGAGTTTACTACTGGTCAGTAAACTAGGTTAGAGTTTCGTAATGTGTCAGCTGGGAATCGAGTCCGGACCTCACGCGTGGCTGGCATGGATACTAGCGTTGAACCACAGACACGCTTATATTTTTTCTTGTTATCAGTAATTATTTTCCATCATTGGGGTATGTGGGTATGTGCAACTGTAGCTCACTAGTCTAGGTTTTTGGTTTGGAGTCATTGAGACTCAGGTTCGAACCCTGCTACACTTAGTGAAGTTTTGACAATCAAATACTGTCACTAGGTCTCAGGCAGTAAGGTATGGCTCATTGCCAACTGCATGGAAATGCAAGTGGTTGGTGGGTAACACTTTCTTCTTCCCTTCATATGCTATTATGTAAGCTTAAAGTATCCATTTTCTGAATATGCAAAACAAATCATATGAGTTGAAATTCAGATTAGTCAATTTACTGACTTATTATTATTATTCCCTTCGGTTCCTAGTGGAACATAGGGCTTCAACAACACATCTCCACTTTGTTCTATTTTCTGCCGTCCTCTTCAGCTCGGTCCACGATTGATCATAATCTCTCATTTCCTCCTTCAACTCATACAATCTCACCCTCACACCGATGACACACTCACCGCTTCCCATTAGGAATCCACTCGAGCGATGGCCTGCATTGCGCTTGATGTCACTCGACGGCCTCCTCAATGTATGCTTGATCCATCCATCTCCATTTTCTCCCACATGTTTGTTGAGCGATTGGCTCTTGCTCCTTTGGTTTGTTCCCAGCCTGAGTTTCTTGTTGCTAATTCTGTATGGCCGACCGGCCGGCCATTTGATCTTCAGTATGGAGCCAGAAAAGGCAGCTGTTGATGAAAGTCTGTAACTTTACTTACCTAAATAGATCATTACTCACCTATATAGATAATTATCATTATATCTATCATTATAATAGTCTGTAGAACGAAACAGGTATAGTGTGTCGGTGCTTCAATGGTAGCAAATGCTCGTCAGTCACACGGTAGGTTCAGGTTCGATTCCCAGCTGATGCACTCATTAACTTCGCCTACTTTACTAGAGGGTAGTGAGCGCGGAGAAGAGGGGGGGCAAGTTGGGCTTGAGGCTAGCAACCCCACCGTGTGAAAACAGCATCACTGCTACTGAAACTTAAAATCTCAACTTTCTACGTTCTACTCGGAAGACGATGAAAGTAAAATCAGGTTGAAATGATTGTAATTCTATAGTACAAATATGACAAGTGAAAATCATAAGGTGTAATGAAAAATGGTAAATTAATATGTATGTATAAAACTTGAGCACTGTAACAGTATGTAATTTCATATTAACTTGTTTATTGAATATATATCACAGTGAAACACAATATTATTCACTGGGTGACGTTTTGAACACAGTTTTTTGTTCATAATCATATAAGTTGTGGTTGTGGTGATGTAATATATGCTATAAACAAATTAGTATAGAAAAGCGGTAAATAATTAAAACTATGGCTGTTAAATATTTGCATACTTACATTTCTTGTAATTGATTAGAACTGATGGTTGAAGAGGGGGTATTGTAGCTCTCACCTAGAATCATAGTATATGTTTGCATGATTCACAATCACCAGTGCGTGTAACATGAAATTGGTGGCGTGGCTTTAGGAGACTATCGGTGGTGGTTTTTTGGCTTCCGTCGTTTTCAGTGCACACAGAGTGAAGAGGAAGTGAAGATCCATCAAGTAGAGGAGTTGCATTAGTAGAAGGAAGGTAAGACAATAGAGATGAAGATGAAGTCAAAGATGAGTGAGGATTAGAGAGGTTTCGCGTACATTTCGGATTGTGAGGGCGATTGTTACTTCCCGGCTGCCCACACCGTGGAAGTTGGTTGCGTGACCGCAGAGCCCAGGGGACAACTGCTTGAGGCCGGTTACACGCGGCCTGCTTTTGTTTGTTCTTTTTCATTTGGTGTGTTTCAGTAGCATATTCATCACTTCTGCCCTGTGACACGACAGCAGGAAGCGCGGTCGTTGTTAATCCGGGCCCCGACCGATCCGGCATAATATTTTGTGATTTACTTTGAGTCATAGCATTGGGTTGGGTAACTGCTTTTTGTCTAACTGCGATCCAAACAACCTTTCTGGCATGGTAGGACCTCAAGCAACATAAGTCCCAGCCAGTATAGCTTGTTGGGTCATTGTGGTGTTCAAGCCCGACCACCACGTCAAGGTAGCAGATTTCGGTCGGGTGCGTGTAATATAACTTCGTTTAATCCATTTTATACGATTTTGCCTACATTTACATGAAATCAGGATCTCATTCTGTTTCAAAATTAAGTTGCATTACCAAGAAAGCAAACTGATAAACTGAATCATGAAACATGCCATTATCGAGACTACTTGCTTAGATTCTAAGTATCACTGAGGATTCAAGTAACTTGTCTGTATGTCGGTGGTGTAAGTAATAACTCAAATCTTTTAGTTTAATCAACTTGGTCCCACTGCAGATGAGTTCGAATGCAGGCGTGTGAAACAGTCATCCATTGTTCGAGTCATCACGATTGGATTAACAGGTGCTAACGAATTTGAGTAGTTTCTAACTGTTTATGTCGATTCAGTGGAGTATTTCGTATAAATCTTTTAGTGTTAACCCACTCTTTTGATGCTTACAAAGGTGTATACGTACTTAAGGAGGTTTCTGTATTGCCATGTCTACTTCGTGAGTTCGATACTGCATGGCAATCGGCAGGTTGACTAAAGGTCAGATACATTGATTACTAGTGAACTCACGCCTCCTAGCTCCCAAAATTGAAGACGCAGTACAGATTGTTCCTTGTGAGTGAGAACAATCCGACTTAACTTTACAAAAATACATTATATACAAGTATTATTTGCTACAGAAATTTTAATTTGTCCGCACTGGTTTAAGCCCATCTAGGCTTGTTTCAACTTGTTTTAACCGCTCTCTGTCAT